CCTGCTGTTGTAAAATGTTTTTACGGTGCACTGTACAGCCTTTCCTGAAGCAATCACATTTATGGCCTTGCTGTTGTATTTCTTGGGTTGCTGTGGCTGTAAAAGATGAATAGCCCTGTAATATGGTTCACTGATTCTGTTTAAATTGAAGTAGGCTCCCTTTATTGTTTTGTGTCTAAAATTGTATGCCACCAATTCAGGAAATATTTCCTGTTTGGGAAATAATCAACCCATAGCTGATTTATTTTAAAATAAATCACTTTTAACTATCTCTAAAACTATTCCCCTCTTGCTTCTGACTTGTCTCTTCATTTAATTTTCATGGAAATTCTAAAATACTAATTAATGTAGTGAAGCAGTTCTTTAAAAAAAAAAAAAAAACCAAACCAAAAAACCCCGAACCAAACTACTCATCTTATGAATTTTTTCCCCTTACTACTAGATAGTTACCAAAATGGGTGTTGGAAAGGCACCAGTTTTTATCTTAGAACAATTGTATTTTTACTTAATTACTTAATTACTACAGAAACAAACAATTCATTAAATGCAATTTACACAATTCCTGAATTTCTTTGAAAGGAGAAAACTGTCTCTGCTTGCTTCTCATTTTTCTCTTTCCTTGCTGCCTATCAGAACACTTGTGTGTTTTAGAAAAAACAGCATGTTTGAAGGTTTTTGCTTATAAAAGTTTTCCATACATTCAGGAAAATACTGAAATTAACAGGACAATAGTTAATTTACAGCTTGATGGATCTTTTGACTGTATCATCTCTGCCCCTTCAGATGAGGTGGGGGGGGGGGGGTTAAGTTTTGGGACTTTCCTCTAAGTACTGTGTTTTGGTTTTGTTGTTTGGGGTTTTTTCGTGGTTTGTTTTTTTTTTTTAAGCCGAGCATCATAAGATGACCTCTGTTATGGAAGACTTAGTATTACTCTTCCCTTCCTTCCCACTACTCCTGCCTGTCCACATTTCAAGACCAGTCTTGTTATTTGTCATATAATGAGCATAGAAGGAGCAGTATGCTGCTATATTAATAGTGCAACTGAAATTTTGGGTGGCCTTTTTCCACATTGCTGAGATTGAAAGAAAGGGAGGCTCTGCCAGTCTTTTAGGTATGCTACAAGTGCTTCAAATCTGAATTGAGAACACACTCTTGTATTGTCCTACTTGAGCAGGACGTATATTGTTGGTATGAGTTTTTTGCAGGGGATTGCTTGTTTCAGTGGAGTTTTTTAGTTTATTTTCTCCCCTTCTATTTAGAAACTGGGATAGAAAATTAATCCAGCAATACGTGACCTTTATGGCCATGACCTAGGGACTGGGATGTGAGCAGGCGTCAGCTTAACAGTAAATGCCTGGTTGTGGTTGCAAGCGCAGGCAAGCTGATGCTATGCTCCAAGCTCCATTAGCCTGGCTGGCACAAATCCCCCTTGCTGTTGCACCCTGCACACCTGGGTACTTTCCAGTTTAATTCTTGGGGATTGCAGTTCTAGTGCTTGGTAGAGCTGATGTACAGCCTGTTGAGTGCTCCTGACGATGAGTATGAGAGTGACTACAGGAGAACTGCCCTTCTTGTACCTCTGCCAAGTTAGTCTGTGTGTCCAGGAGGGAGTTCCTGGGAAGCGTTCCTAGTTCATCTTGAAGCTGGCTGACTCTTCCCATTCGCTTCTGGTGACTAGCTCGGTTCCACACTGAGAGCAGTAGGGATTATGCATTTGTGCTTTCTCATGTGTGTATTTAAGGTAACTATTTTAAATGTGTAATGATGGAGATCAGTCCATTGCTGTCTACTTCCTCCCCTTCTCTTCACCCAAGCCTGTTAACTCTGTCGCTCTCAGACGTTAAATCTAGGTGGTTTTCATCATTTTGTTGACTAAGAAACAAATATGAGGTTTTACCAATGGCTTTGTAGTGTTTACCCAAAAGACTTTTCCCCTGCCATGTCCTACGCAATCTGCATATTTCTGAAATGAGATTATGGCTCGTGTCTCTCCTCATTCTAAACTCTGGAATGATGTTTTCCACCACATTGCGGTGGGTGGCAAGAGGCAACTGAACAGCTTAAATTTAGTTTCTCTTTGGTTTGAACGGCTGGATGACTCTTTCCCACTGGATGCTGTTGCCTTGCAGCAGGAGTGCTTGGGTGTCAGGACTGATCTGTGGTGTTTTACCAAGCTTTTGCTTCTGGTATTGACTATTTTGGAGGACTAATAACAGATTTAACTTTCTTCTGGACTTCTGTTCATATGGTCACCATTTTCCTTTCAGCTGCTCTGCTTGATTGAGGCCCCAAATCCCTGCTGTATGTTTTTAAAGTATATCAGATTCATATGACTTAACTTGATAGCCTGTCTTGGTTTTCATTCTCTCAACTTCTCAGTTGTTTAAGTGGAGTCATTCAGCAACATGTAATAAACATTCCCTGTAATTTCAACAGCAAAATTGCAGAACTGCATGAGCAAGTGAACATTGTATACAGATTTAGACAACCACAGCGTAAAGACAAGGAGTTGAGGAAGATGATGCATTTGAATAATGCATTTCAGAGCCAAGGCAGCTTTTTACTTACAAAAGAGAGGATCTGAGACACTGCTTGAGGGTTTAGTATTTGAACAGAAGCAAACCATAACAGTCTGTTCCAGTTTCCCCACAGCAAAACTTAAAAAAAAAAAAGTTTTAGTAAAAGCTGACATGTGTGCACAAACATACACATACCCCTTTGAGAAATTAATCCATATACCACTTCAGCTGTTGTGCTTATAGGAGCTTAAAATGTCACTTTATGCAGCACAGGCAATCTGAGGGAATCACCTGTCCTGTTCTCCCCCTTCCTTTTGAGGGAGAAGGGAAAGGGGGATGTTATGCACCATACCACAAACTGTTAGCTGGAATCAGCAGTGGCTGGATGACAGCTGTGAGAAGACAGGCATATCAAACACTTGTCCAATCTTTGTTCTGCTCTTGCTCCTTTCTGAGGTAGATTTCAAATAGCTGGTGATGGAAAAATTGTACTATGGAGCCTTGTTTGCCATTGTATAGTGGATTTCTGACTTCTGTGGTAATCTAGATTTTTCTAACATTACACTCTAACAAAAATAGTGTATATAGCTAAGAGCAAGGCTCTGAATACAGAACTTTCTTGTGTTGAAATGTTGTGCTCCTTCACTTGTGTCTTCGAAAACAAACCAGCTGATTTCTGCTTGCCTCCGAGAAAACACACTCCCATGGAAGATGCTATTTCTGTGTGCTGCTTCCCTCTACTGGGTGGAATGGGAACAGTTATGGCTGATGAATGGATCCAACTTCCTAGGCTAACATCTTGTGTAAGACTTTCATTGTGATTTGACTATAGGGTTTTTAAGTGCTTTGTGAATAGAATGGGGTTTTAGTGGTTACCCACAGTTCACTTTAGCATTCAAATACTCTGATGGGCATGCTAATGTTTCAGTCTTGTTCTCCTCCAACTCAAGCATCTCTGAGCATCACTAGCATGGAAACACTACGTCATAGCAAAGGTTTTTTTTGCTTTGCTTTTGGAAGTGGCAGAAGGGAGTCTTGCCTAATATTGTCACTACTCTGAACATAGAGACTTGCATATTTTGAAAAAACAAAAACAGAGGATGGTTCTCAGGCATGCATACTTTGTTTTCGCCTTCTGGGAGGTGGGTGTGCTGGTGCTGCAGTTCTTCAGTGCAGTGATTATTAAATGACCCACTTAAGGGAATGTGGTGTTTGTATGCAGGAAAAGTCTTTACCTGAAACTTGCTATAGATGACATCTCCAATCTGCAAGTGTTGGCAGATGGTTTCCGCTCTTAAGAGGAGCTGATGTGGACACTCTTCCTAGTATTGTATTGCAAAGAAAACAATGACACTTCCATCCAACTGTTAGAGAGTATGATTTGGAACTTACTGGGAGGGATAGCTCTTCCTCTGTGGAGAAACTATTGTGAAGTCTTTGCCTATTGCTACTACCTCTAACCATCCCCTTTATAGTTGAGCTGTTGGATTTTTTTTTCATTCTGGCACTATTTTCTCTTTAATTCTTCATTAGATGGTGATGGAGATTTTTTTTTTTCCCTCTAGGTACTGCATTTCTACTGTGATACCTGTTCTGTCCCCATATGTCGGGAATGTACCATGGGACGACATGTGGGTCACAGCTTTATCTACCTCCAAGATGCCCTCCAGGACTCCAGGACTCTCACCATTCAGCTCCTGGCAGATGCTCAGCAAGGACGACAGGCTATTCAAGTAAGATACTCACTTGAGTACTTTATTCCCACACCCTCCCGCCCCTTCTTTCCCCCACAGCTTGTCTGTTACAGGGCAATGTGTCGAGGCAAAAAGCTCTCTGCTTCTGCTGTCAAGTCTTCTCACCCCTTCTGTTCTCTCGGATCTCTGACAGAAGTGGCTGTGGAGCTGAAAACAAAGTGCTGTTATATGAATTTTGCATTCTGGCAGCATAATCCTGTCATGTAAATCACAATATATATGAAGCTCTGTAGAAATGCACTTGAGCGTGAAGCATTTTGAAGAAAGTTCTGATCTTGTATAGGAGTGCGAAGCCTGGCTTTGTTTTTACAACTGAGACTTATTTTCAGCTGTCTTTCATTTGTGTACAGTATCTAGCACTGTAACTACCTACGACTCTGGTTATGTCTTCAGGGTTGCCATGACATATAAAATACTAATCAGCTGTTGGATTAGTGTGAAACTTCTAACCTGCCTGTGTGAAGGATCTGGAGCCATCTCCATACAAGGATTACTCTGCACACACAGATGCATACTATAACTGCCTATTACTGCATTCTACTTCAGCTGTGTTTTATAATGCAAATACAAATACCAGGCAAGGACTGGAAGGAAGGTAGTACAGTGCTTCAAACTACAGGAGAAATTTATATAGGGAAGTAACATGCAGGGTTATGTAGATAGTTACTTTTGCTGAATAATAATCTGGCAGTAACTGTTATATGATATTAAGCAGTAGTTCTGCCTGTATAAAGAGACTTTGGATGGGGAAGGCATCGTGGGAAGCTATGCTCCGTGCTGCCATCTTCTCATTTTGTTAGCCTCAAATTTGAGCTGGATATTCTGAAACTGGACACTTCTGTGTGATTTAACTAGTAAGATTTTTTGAGTAAACGTTGGTAAATGCCATGTATAGGAAGTAAACTTTCTGAATTGGGTGTGCTTTCCTGGCACATGCACGGTACAAACAATAATTTAAAAACCCAAACAAACCTGTTGTCCACCCATCATTGCTTGTTTCTAGTAGATGAGGATTTGAGTGGGTCTCTCTTAAATTTTCTTACTAAATAAAATCTGTTAAATCTGTCCTTCCATTGTTGTTGGCAGTGACCACTCCTTCAGTCTCTTCTAGCTCAGTTTTCTGCAGCACTATGGAAGTCCTGTGTATTCTGGGCAGGTTACTAGATATAGGGCTTGTGTGTCTTGGGGACTGGCTGTTTTGAAGTTGGATTCCTTTCTGTGATGTGACAATTTTTCTGCTTCACTGGTTGGTGAGAATAAGCCGTAACTTCTAGCCTGTCGGATAGCTATAACTCTTTTAAGTAAGCTTGTTCAGTGGGACAGGAGCAGCTAACTTTTCCCTCCTTTTGCACCTCTGGAATGAAATAATGAGTATTATGATGGTCTAGGTATTAAACTGTTGTTTATGTCTCCCTTTAGCTTGTGATGTTAACTTGGTGTTTGCTCTTCTGTTTGCTGTTCAGTTTTTGGAGCTGGATGGCTAATTTAAAACTCCATCTTAAGACAGAATCCTGCAAACCTTCGCTCCTTCCAGGATTTGTTTTAAATTGAATCATAAGGCTCTTCAACAGTATCCATACTGAAACATTTAGCATGTCCCCAAAATGAGCAAGAAGAAAGGGATTATACTAGCTTAAAGAACCTCACTGGTGCAGTGTTCTGAATTTCTTCAGGCTGTCCTAGACAAGGGCTTGTCTGTTAGTAATTAAATTACTGCTTTTGACCTCCAGGGCTCTTAATCATCTAACTGGTGCAGATAAGTCATCTAAGAAGGGACTGATTCTTAGAGTAGAAACTAGCAGAATATCATTGAGTACCACTCTACTGCTATTGCATGAATGCTTTTGTGCCTGCTTGCTTCCTACTGGGTTTACTTTGCTTATTCCTCCTCCATTTTCTTTCTGCTTCTATGTTGGAGGCTCCTGCCACTGTGGTGAGCTGACTACTTTATGATGGTACAGATAAAGGGTGGGTGGTACTGGCTATGCTCATGTAACTTGAATAAGCAGCTCAACTGAACTTAATTTGTATATTTTGCCTGGTCTAGCTGCAGCCCATCCAGGTTTTGGAAGTGTTTGACTGGGCAGCCTGTGCAAAGATTCTGTAAAATGAAGCATGCTTTTCAAGAACTGAGTTGTCTTATTAGTTTAGTGGGCTTTTTAATCTGGACTGCTGTACAGAAAAAGGGTGTAGTGAGCAAGCAGATCAGTGATAAAGTTGAGGTGGTGGTAATCTGTGTGTGCATATGCAGGAATGGGAAGACTGTACAACTCAAGACAACTGCTACCTAAGCAACATCAACAACAGCTACAAGAGCACGTGGTGCAGTTAAAAGCAGGGGTGCTTGACTTAAAGGTTGATGTGGCAAGCCTGCTGCATAAGAAAGTTTTCATGGTGCAGAGCTTTCCTTGTTCTTGGGATGATAGGGCTGTGAAGCTATATATTTATCCTAGGGAGGAGACAGCATGCCAGCATGAATTCAAAACAAACTCTAAAGTAACTGGCCTCTAAATTAAAAGAAATTGGCTTGAGTGCTTTTGTTAAAATTTGAAAACGGTCAGCAGGGATTTAAATGCCAGTACTGCAATATGAGGAACATAGACTGAAGCTCTGTGAGGCTTGAAAAGTAATATGGGGCAGTAACACTTCTTAGTGGGACTGATTCATACTGCTGTTACTAGTAACTCTTTCTTAATAAGCTCTGAAAGTGATATAGCGCTCTGACATGAGATGTTGAGGATGAATGAGGAGGGGTAGCTGAGAGTAAAGGGGAAAAGGTGGAATTTGAAGGGTGTTGCAGGAGAGAGGAAATCAAGCCATGAGTCAACTGGCTGGAGAGTATCTGGTTAACCAAAGTTGAAGGCTTTTAGGAAAGAAATGTTTATTTAAACTCTTCCTGCGGCTTTGGAGGAAAGATTGTTTTTCAGACTTTAAAAAAAAAAATAAAATGCTGTGACTTGGGATACATTTCAGCCTCTTGATCCACTGAAGCCTGATCTAGTCTGTCACTCCTGAAAAGTCCAAACCTCACTTTTCAAAGGAGTTGAAGTTCTCTGTAAGAAATAGTAATCCTGGCAGCAAGAGGCTTGGTTTTTTTTGTCAGTGGGGTTCTGCAGCAATGGAAAGCTCCCCCTGCTTCCCTGTGCTGCACTGGTCCTGGCCTGGATCACACATTTCTACGCCTGTCCCTAACACAGAACTTGTGCTTGTGTGTCTGAGTGGTGAGCTGATCCAGCTGAAAGGGTAACCTTTCTTCTGTAGGATTACTTTTTGGCTGGGTCAGCCCCCTGGCTGGTTCACTGCAGTGCTACAAGGACTGTCAATGGTGCCAGGGAACGGAGCAGAAACACCCAACTCTGTTGCTTGTTGGACCTCTTTCTTGTCTCACTGGAAAGCTATGCTCCTTGCTGGGATGCTTTTCTAGCCTTTTCAGAGACTTAAATTAGTTCACAGGGTGATATGAAAGCCAAAGTTGAAACTGGATTAAATTGGGTGGGGGGAGGCAAGACTGCTGTTTTTCTCTATGGGGGAGCTTGACCTGCTGCCTTGTTTTACCTCACGGAAGTGCACGCTTAGCTGCCTTCTTGCAGAATTTTTTCCAAGGACTGGGCCACAAACTGAACGTAAATCTGTTATGATGAAAGATAGATGGCTTCTTCAAAATGTCATGTTCTTAAAATACAACTATACATGTGTAATTGTATATATGTATGTATGTGTGTGTGTAATCTAATGCACTTGCGTAATAGTAAAGCCTTGAGTGCTTATTCCCATTTAGGGTCAATTTCCAGGTGAACATGTTAAAATACAATTTGATCTGTTCATGTCAGTTGTCTTAAAAGTGGTTTTACTGGAAAACAAACAAATTCTTTCCTAGCTGAGCCTATAGCTGGTTTTGCTGGGATGTTTGACAGTGCAGGCTTCCATATTTAAATTAATGCAGTGAGACCAGTCATGTGCAAAACGTGGAGGGGCTCTTGTATCTACCAGCATGAAAGGCTTAGGAGTTGGTGGTAAGGCAGGTCAGCCATTAAGGCAAGGCCTCTCCTCTCCCAAATTGTGGAGGAGGTGGTATGAAGTAGACTAATGCTTTTATTCTGGGGAGGGGGGTACTGTAAGAAACTTGGCCAGCCAGAGGAGGAAGCTGATCTGTTGCCTTGAGCCTCTGCCCTTCAGTGGAAGCCTCCCTGTGGGTTGCCATATGGATCTGTGCTGCCAGGAGGTCAATACCCGAGAAGGATGGCATGCTGTGCTGCAAGGGATTGTTCTGGGGTTGTCACATCAAGGTACGTCATGACGGCACCCTTGTGTGTGGCTTTGAAGTCAGGCTTGCAGGTTTGAGAATCTGAAATGAAGCTTTGTAAACAAAATGGAGTCAATTGTGCTTTTCTAAATCTAGTATTTATATCAACAGAGGATGAATTTCGGTGTACTTCTAGTTATTGTTTTGTGTTGTGTTTTAGTGAGTTCCTTAGTGTAACATATGAACAGATGGCTAAAGGGAAGGATGGATTTGACATGCGTCACTGTCCAAACTACTGTTCTGCCTAAAACTTTAGGCAAAAAGTCTGTTCTTGCAGTACAAACCAAAGTGATTGTCGGTTTCTGACATGAGTTAACCTGGCCTCTAGCCCTCCCTCCATCAAAGTTTCTTTTAAAATTCTCTTTATGTGAGAATTTTTCTTTAAGTGAGAATTTTTTAGTGTTTTACACTTTTTAGGCTGAAACCTTTAAATTGGCCCAACTACTGTGATTTGTGCTATAGCTGCACTAATATTACAGCAAAGCCACTGCTAAGCCTATTAATCCCAGTATCTTTACTGTAACTATAGTTTGTATAGGATCTTCCAATTAATTTTTCTAGTATAAGAACATTAGGGAGTTTATATCCAGTTCTTGATGCTGGAGAAAGCTGGCTGTTATGTCCTGGTTGTTTTAGCCTGCTCTGAAACAGTGATAAGTAACTGGAAAAGTTCTTT